GCAGCGGCTGTAGCTCAGCACCCCCTTCCCGAGGGCGCTGGGGAACAGCGCTGAGGGGCTTTCACCTCAATGGATTTGGTTTCGGGAGGGCCCAGAGCATCCCCGGAGCACAGCGACGCTGCAGCCCCACGCTGTTCCTCTTAACCATGAGCAGCAGGGACGACGTGGATCTTCTTCTCCAGCACCTCTGTATTCTCTCTTCACTCCTGGAGCAGACGCCCCCATCCACCAATGCCCCAAAAACCCCATGGGGGCAGCAGTGACACCGCCACCACCCATCCCCACCGGTCCCTGGGTACCCACAGCGTTAAACTCTCTCCTCATTAAACTCTCTCCTCGTTAACAACCACACCAAACTCTCTCCTCGTCAACACCGCAGCAGGGCCCCTGTAACCATTAAACCCCTGCTCTGCGGGGCAGAGCTCTGGGCGCTGGCACCATCGGTCCTGGCGCGGGCAGCAGTCGGCAGCGCCCGCTTCTCCTGACGCAGCTTCAGACCCGCAGCTTTCGGAGCTTCCTTTCGTTCTCTTGCCTCATCCACAGCCCAAAGTAACCGGGAACAGCAAGCATCGATAAAACGCTGCCCCTCGGTGCTCCCTAAGGACACAGCCCATCAGCAGATGCTTGGATGGGCACAGCATCGCACCCACCACTGAGCTTCCCCCCTGAAATTCGGGAGCCATGGCCATGTCCCCACCCCAGGCCCTGTTGAACCGGCTGAGATCTCACAGCTCTTCATTCGTTTAAGTACAGATTACAAGGGGATGGGTTATGGCTTCTAAATAGCCGATTACAGGATGCTTTACTGGGGCTAAATCCTATTTTGCTCCTAAAAGGCTGTGCTCAAGAGCAGAGCCGAGGGAAGACGCCCGTCATCCCGAGCACCCGCTGCTCAAAATCTGCCAGGAAAATGCAACGGCAACAGCAAAAGCACCAAAACCACCGAATCACAGAATTGCTCGGTTGGAAAAGCCCTCTGAGATCATCACGTCCAACCGCTCCTATCTACCCACTAAACCATATCCCTAAGTACCTCATCTACCCGCTCTTTAAGGGAGGGGCCCCCCCCCCCCCCCCGGGCCAGCCTGTGCCAGCTTCTGACGACCCTCTCAGGAAAGAACTTCCTCCTTATCTCTAACCTGAACCTCCCTTGGCACAGCTTGGTGCCGTTTCCCCTTGTTCTATCCCCCATCACCTGGGAGAAGAGACCAGCACCCACCTCTCTCCAAGCTCCCTTGAGGCAGTTGTAGGTGGTGCTGAGGTCTCCCCTCAGCCTTCTCTTCTCCGGGCTAAACAAGCCCAGTTCCCTCAGCCGCTCCTCATCAGGCTTGTTCTCCAGAGCCCTCCCCATCCTTGTGGCTCTGCTCTGAACCGTTGTGGCACACAGGGCTGGGGCATTTCACACCCAAGTGCAGGGAAACACAACCAGCAACCACCAAACCCTTCCCCGGC